CAGATCTGTCCGAAATGAGATGGTCTGGAGGGACACACATTATCCAGTGCATTCCTTACCCCACGGCCAATCATATTTCTCCGTCTCTGTGAGAACTGAATTCTGTCCTGTACACCTTCAAGCTAGGTAGAGTCACTTTCCTTGCAGTGCAAGGCTCCCAGGGTGGCTGAAAACCACATAAAAGCTCTCTGCACTGAGAGGCCTCAGGGCTCGGAAGGGCAGGTCAGTCCTATGTTCTGAAGACTGAGCCCGGGTGCCACATCTAATGAGTAGGGGGAGGGTTTCAATGACAACCTTCAGGGGCCAAAAGTGACACCATAGAAGGTAAAAGGCTACCCAAGGCACAGACAAACTGTGATGGAAATGGCGTTTCAAGCATTATACAGACAACATAGAACAGAAACATTCCAGCCCACAGCAAGACATCTCAAACTGACACTCGGACACCATTCTAAAGATAATTGCTTCTATTTTCCTTTTGTAATAAAAACTGACTTACAGCGGGGGAAAAACCTGAGAGGTTATTCATACAGTGTACTATCTCTAGGTGATAAGAATGGGTTTTAAGTTTTAATATATTTACTTATTGTTTATCTACATGTGTCAAACATTCTAAAATAGAAAATGTATCTTATTACTTTGTTTTTTGAGGTAGGTTCTGCATAGTTGGGCATCTCTTACTTCACTGAGTGCTAGGGTTCCAGACATGCACCACTTATACATTAAGCTTTTGCTTTTTTTTTTTTTTACAAGATTAAATAATGAAATGGACACAATCAGCCAACTAGCTGTAGATAAAGAAACTAAGTAAGGAACAAACAAGTAAGAGCTTTATCTCCCTGTTTCTGGGAACCCCAAGTGCCCAGCACAGGCCAAAAGTAGACGTTACAGAAAGGAATAGTTAAACAAAAGATCAGGCAAGGTGGTGAGGCAGAGGCAGACTGAGTCCAGGAAGGTCCAGGCCCTCCTGGTCTACACAATAAGCTCCAGATCAGCCAAGGCTTGAGAGTGAGACCCTGTCTCAAAAACAAACAGAGAAAAAGGCAAAGACAGAAAGGAAATAAGAAAAAGGAAATGTCTAAAGGACAAACTCTGAACATGGGCCAAAGAAAGGAAGAGAGAAAAAGAAAGAGAGAGAGAGAGAGAGAGAGCAAGAGAGAGGGAGGGAGGGAAGGCACAGTGAGATTTTGCTCAGTGGGTAGTTCAATGTGGTTGGACTCTGTCCTTGCAAGATCTCACCAGAACTTGCCAGGGCAGCCTCTTTCCAGGAACAACAGCCCATTGCTTGGTACAGGCTGCCTGGCCTGAAAGATGCATTAACCTATTTTGTTGTTTAATGTCCCTTGCTTGCTATTTGTGATGGTTTATACTGACTTAAATTAGGCTATGGAGTCTCGTAGGAGACAAGTTTCCAGATTAACCTATGAGTACTATCTAGAGCAGGTCAGTCTTTAAAGAAGGCCTGGGTTAACTGAGTGTGAAGCCTCCTCCTTGGCAAGGGCAGCACCATTCCCTGGGTTTGACTACTCCATCTGGATAAAAGGAGGATGCTAGCTGAGCAGGAGCATGCATCCTTCTCTCCTTGTGACTGCAGAGGCAATGTGACCCACTGCCTCCCACTCCTGTGATGTGGGAGTCCCCTCTGCATGCTGTGAATATGTTTATATTCACATTGGTTAATAAAGAAGCTGCTTTGGACGATGGCAGGGCAGAATACAGGTGGATGGGAAAACTAAACTGAAAGCAGGGAGATGCCACGTAACTGTTAAAGGGGAAAGACACCAGTAAACCACGAGCCTTGTGGTAAAATATAAAATAATAGAAACGGGTTAATTTAAGATGTAAGAGTTATCTAGGAATATGCCTGAACCATTGGAAAAACAGTGTTGTAATTAATAGTTTTGGTGTGATTATTTGGGTCTGGATGGCCGAGAAACAAAAAAGCAGTCTCCATTTACAATCCTGCCTCTAGGGCTTTGGAGCTGTGGTAGACGATCCCCCTGAAACTGTGAGTCGAAAGAAATCCTTACTCTTAAACTGCAACAGGAAAATCAAGTAAGATACAACTAGACTCTTACAGGAAATCCTCTGTCCCTCTGTCCCCTCATCTAGTTCCTCTCTTTGCAGGGTTGCCCATTAAATTGTTTTTTTTTTCCTTCTGCTATTTCTTGTATAGATATCCAGTTTGGCATATGAAAAGAATCCACGGAAAATTTTGTCTCAGATCTTAGTGCCATTAAAGTAACTACTTCCCAGAATACGCAACATATGTTAATTCTCTGAGTACTGAGGACCTTACCACAGGTCTTTCACGTGTCTGTGTGAAGTTGAGAATCACATGATGGCCCCTGTTTAGTGACTTTTGCCTATTAGCTTACTTTTCTTCTCATTTCTTTTTATTCTTCTCTCTCTACCCCAACTCTTTTTCTCTTTTTCCTCTCCTCCAACTCTCTGACAATGTGAATTTTTAAAAATATTTTGGGATGAGGGAGTGTGTAAACAAAGCAATAAGTGAAAAAATAAACCTTAAATGTGTTCTGAGAATGGCAGGTTTCTTTGGAGACCTTCACTCCTATGACTTGCCTGGAATTAAAAAAAAAAAACAACAATGTGCCTGCTCTTACTAACTAGGGGTGTTCAGTACTGCTCTAAATAACACAGCCTGGCTGAGGTCTGTAAAATATTCAGGGCTCCTCACACAGGGCAAAGCACAAAGCTTGGAGTCGGACTGAATTCCACTCCTCCATGTGAAATGAGTTAACCTTATGTGCCTTCTCTTCGATCATCTCCCCCCACCCCACCCCAGCAATGGGAATAATAACGGTACTGACCCGGCCAGGCAGTAGCAGTGCATGCCTTTAATCCCAGCCCTTGGGAGGCAGAAGCAGGTGGATCTCTATGAGTTTGAGGCCAGCCTGGTCTACAAAGCAAGTTCCAGGACAGCTAGGACTATATACAGAGAAACTTTTCCTCAAAATAATAATAATAATAACAACAACAGTAATAACAATAATGGCACTGACCTGATACAGTTGCTGGGAGAAGTAAATGAATTCAAACATGTATGGATTTGGTATAGACCTGGGCCTACCACACAGTATCTGTGGGCCAGTATGATAATGAAGGTTTTTGTCGCAAGTAACCCAGCACACAGTTTTAAGTCCTACTGACACTAATATTTCTCATTGTAAATTACTAAGTCAACAAACTGACTTTCATGGCAACTGTACTTATGTCTGGGCCTCACTTGTAAATTCCTATGAAGTCAGAGTTCTCTCTATATAGTAAAAATGTTTAGTCATGTGTTTTCTGGTTTGCTAGAGGAAAAAAAGCAGAGATGTAGACAACAAAAGCAGTTCCCAGCGCATATCTGCACTCCGTAACAGGATGAGTCCTAAACCACACCCAAGGGTGCATGAACACACGAGTTCACAATCGCATTGCATACAGGAAGGCAAGTTCCTGCCAGCCCTCACAGAGGCAACCCCAACTTCACTTTTAATGAGTCGGGAAAGAGGAAAAACCTCATGACCCGATTCTCGGGACATTCTTCCAAATCAAGCGCTTTGTTCAGTTATCAAAGAGCTCAGTACACTTGAGGTCCTGACTTACATCTGAGTTTACAAAACTGCCACCTCACACATCCGCATCTAAATTGCAAATTGCAAACTTCTCAGATTTCACGTCGAAGGCAGGAGCCTCTAACCAGCACCGCCCTAACTCTGTTCAGGCCAAAGCCAGTCTAAGCCACTTCCTTCACCCTTGGCCCTGAAAAATTTAAATCATCAGAGAATGCCTATTTCACAAATATGTGTGCATTATTTTCAAAATCGGGGGCTTGATAGTGCAACAAAAGAATAAAACTGAATAATTATTAAATTCGGAGTGACTGACACTTTAAAAAAAAAAGAAAAAAAGCTCAAGGGAAAAAAATCACTGAAACTGCGTAAGTTACCATAAAGGATGATGTAAATGGCTCGTTTCAAGTTTCACCCTTTGCAATACCAAAGTCGCAGACTGGAAGAAAAGGACTGGGAATTCGACAGTCATTAATCTCCCATTTTCTACGCTTCCTGTTAATTACCTAGCCAATGAAAGCTCCTACAAGTTTATTTAGCCGAACTGAAACGCAGTAGTCCCTTTAAATGCTCTCGTTTCTCCACATCATAGAAAACACTCTAAGAACAACGTTTAAGAAGTGAACCAGGAAGAGTGGTCAAGCACACTGCTTTGAGGAACTTCGTGCTCTTTCTAGCGTAGTTAGCCAGAGTCACTCTAAGCAAAGCGCTAGTACGCACGACCGAGCGACACTGCCTAATGCGAAGAGCCGAGAGGGTCACGGACCAAACCGTTTCGCTGGCAGCGCGGGTGCAGCTCTCCAAAGCTCCCCGGAGACCCCGGGTCCCCAGCCTGCTCTCCTCCGGGCCCCGCAGGCAGCGGGTGCAAACCCCACCCAGCCGCAGCGCACTTCCCGTTCGCCGGCCGGTCAAGAACTCCAACTTGACAGTGACACGCCGTGCTATGAGGAAGTGGCCGCGACCTAGGTGCTGCCACCACTTCGGAGGCTGGACTGTCCTGGCAAGAAGTGCGGAGGGAGTTCGAGGGGGCTCGTCGGCAATTCCGGCTCCGCGCCCCGCAGCCTGGACACCCGCACGCGCGGCGCGCCGAGCTCTTACCTGGTTTGACCGGTTTGGGAGGTGGCTTGGACATGGCGCTACGCGGAGCTGCCAGGCTCTGCCGCGGGAGCCCCACACGCAGACGGGAACTGGGCGCCAAGCCTGCGCTGGCCGCGGCCGCTCGGGACCCGCGCGCAGCCGATGCGGGACACTCGTACCAGCGAGCTCCGCAGACCGCCCTGCTTTCCCACCAGGAAGTGGCCGCGCCTCGCCGGCCGCTGGTTGGCTGCGGCGGTGAGTGGGGCGGAGCCTCGGAAGGCCAACCTGCTCCGGAGCGCTGGGGCCCCGCCCTCCTCGTTGGGGGAGGAGCCTTGCGGCGACCACGCCCCCAGGCCCAGCTTGGTGGGGACTATGAAAGCGGCTAGAGCGCTGCACAGACCAGGTGAGCATCGGGCTGTGGTTCTTTTGAGACGCTCTTGAGGCCTGTTCTGCGGCCCTGCTGGGGAGGACTCGAACCCGCTTCGGTAAGTACTCACTGCCCGCTGCGTAGCCGCGCCGAGGCCTGGGCACCTTCCAGAGTCACTTGAGCCGGACCGGAACCTGATTGCGTCTAGGGAAACCGCGTTAGGACTCGCGTACCTAAGAGGCGTCTTGCTCTTCACGGTACTGGCACTAGCTCCAGAGACCACACATTTGCTGGTAGGGGAATAGGGTCTGGATTCTCAGGAGACAGGACGCTCCTTTCTGCAGCATTTGGTTTACAAACTCCAGCCCACCTGCTATTTGGATTTGTAAAGCCTTCCAAGAATGCTTTTGGTGTTTTTAATAGCTGAAACAAAAGTAAAAGCATAGTGTTTTGTGGCATGTGGCACGCGAAAGTTAGGGGAAACTTATTTTCCGTGCCCATAAAATTTTGTTAGAACACACCATGCTCGTTTTCTTATTCATTGACTGTGGCAGCTTTCTCATTGCAAACTTCAGAGTAGTATGGGGTGTGTGTGTGTGTGTGTGTGTGTGTGTGTGTGTGTATGCACACGTATACTATCTGATACTTTACAAAAGTTGCCTCTGCCTAACCTAACACCTCATCTCATGATTTTGTATTCACACTCACATAAACTCACAATGTTATGATCGGTATTATATACCCCATAATATAATAGGAGAAATAAAAACGAAAATACTGATTATGTAAGAAACTACAGGGTCAGCAAGATGGTTCAACTGCCCTTGCTGCCAAATCTGATGACCAGAGTCCAGTCTTCAGTACCCACACGTTGGAAAGAGAACTGACTCCCACAAGTAGACCTATGACCATGTGGACTATGGTGAGCCATGGCATGCACCTACCCACACACATGTAAATTAAAGAAAAAAAAACCTACATAAAACGGAGTGTCAAAGTGTCGACTGAAAGTTAGGTTAAAAAAAAAAAGCGAGTGGAACTTCAAGAGGCATAGGTTACTAGGAGCTTTGTGGCGGCCACACTCCTGGGCTATGCTTACCAGGGACTCCTGCTGTAGGAGAGTCTGTTTACCAGGAGGGATCAAAGTTTAAATTAATTGCAAGAGAAGGTCCTGTCCATGGGAGAGGATCCAGGTAACTGTTGAATAAAACACAGGAGACAGAAGCCCTGAAAACATTTGTCTTGAACTCATCTGAAGAGCACACATGTTTGCCCTCATCATCTTTCAGATTTTGTGGGGAGTTCTTGTCTCCATCCAGCCTGCTGATTCTTCGCATGCCTGGGGAAGAATTCTGTATTTTAAAATTCAAAGTAACTCAGGTTTAGAAGTGGGATAGATCAAACATAAACATAAGCCAACTATGAGAAGAATTCGACATTTCACTGAGAGTAAATCAAAAGCATTTTTAAAAACTTCTGCAGTCTTGGTGATCCCAGTACTTAAAGTAAGGTAACCTTGCCACAGAAACAATCTTGACAATGTAACAAGTTCCTGATCAAATGGGCTACATAGTGTGAGATTCTGTCTCAGAATGATAATAATGAATACATTTAAAAAATATGTAAGCAACTAATGTAAGGTTTATTCCTGTCTCAGTCTGTTCTCCCTGCTCCCTGTGCAAATGGTCTCTGCTGCTTAGGAAAAGATACTGCATAATTAATACACACGATTCACAATGATAGGACACCCTGATTTCACAACTCTGGCAAGTTCAGAAGGTTGTTTCTCCAGAGCCATCATAAGAGTCACAGTTTATCTTTGCTCCAAGTTGTATATACTTCATAACATACTCTGCTATAAGACCAGATGCAGAGGCCTACACTTGTAATCCCACCACTTGAGTGGCAGAGGATCAAAGTAAGGTCACTCCACTGTATAGCCACTTTAAAGCCAGGCTGAGCCACATGGAAAGCCTCCAAAACAAACAAATAAAAAACCTTTCAGCATGTATATGTATATAGAGAGCGTGGCAACTCTTGACTGCAACTTGTTCAAAATTTAGGTTTTAAACCATATTTGAAGAGACCCTGAATTATAGTGAAATAGAATGATGTGGGAGTTGCTGGTGCCATGTATGAACCTGGATTGTATCTGAACCTTATGTATCCTACACAGTTTTTGAAGTGGACAGCTTCAAAGATTGATAAGCTGCTCGCTGCTCCACTGACCACTCAGTCCTGCCCCAGCCTTGTTTCTGCATGGCCCAGTTCTCCTCTCATGCATTATCACCTCCTGATGTAGGATATGTTGCTTTCATTGGTTGAATAAAGAAAACTGCCTTGGCCTTTTGATTAGGACAGCCCCTGGGTGGGCGGAGTAGACAGAACAGAATACTGGGAAGAAGGGAAGTGTGGCTGACGCCATGCTTCTCCTGCCCAAGATGGACGCTGGTTAGACTCATGCTGGTAAACCACAGTCAAGTGGCAATACACATTAATGGAGATGGGTTAATCAAGATGTGAGCGGTAGCCAATAAGAGGCTAAAAATAATGGGCCAGGCAGTGTTTAAATGAATACAGTTTCTGTGATTATTTCGGGGTTAAGCTAGCCGGTTGGCGGGACGCTGCCCGTTCCACCATACAACAACCTCCTCATTGCTGGTGAGATAGGTCCAACACTTATCCAAACACTGCTTTGGATAGTCCCAGGTTGCTAACTCAATGTAGACCTGGGGTGCCTGGGTTTTAAACTTTTCAGTTGTTATTTACTTAGTGTATATATGGACACATGAGTGCCGTGCGGGTGTGCAGAGGTCAGAGGACAACTCAGAGTCAGTTCTCTCCTTCCGCGTGAGTTCTGGGGCTCCAACTCCAGTCATCGAGCTAGTAGTGAGTAACTCAGGTCGTCAGACTTTGGGGTGAGGGATACCGTTTCAATTTGAGAGAAAAAAAAAACACAGTCTTGCAATCCCTTGTACTTTCCTGCAGGTGTTTCCATCCTTCTTACCTGAAGGAGTTTACATTTAGATTCTTTCACCTCATTCCTCATCTCTGAACTGCTAGAGTTCACACACAGATAACCCCCTCAAGTCTTTCCAGTACCACAACTACCGTCATTACTTCCATCCTCTGTAATCGAGGCAGTATCCTCATGTATCTGCACAAATATATCAGCCAGGAAAGGGACCAGTATTTTCCAATAACTGTACACAGCAAATGCACAGCTTTTCAACAGTACATCGGTAAGAATGACATGGATTATCATCCTTCAGAGCCTGAGAAGTCAACACACATGCAACATCCTTTTGTGCTCTTGGTAATGAAGCATTTCAGAGCCTCCATGAAAATAGAAAGATGTTCACTTAATTGATCTAGTTTCCGTTCTGGCTTTTCTTGAAATGGATATCTGTCATTCCAGTCTGGACCAATTTGTACTTCTGCAAAGCTTGAGAGTGGATACTGTGCCAGTAAAAGCTTTTTAGAGAGGTGGGGGAGAGACTAAGAGACAGACTGACTTCTGTCTTCCTCTGCCGCTGGGGGCAGTGCCCTCTTTCACTAGGAAAACAGGAAGAGCGCAGAGAAGGGTATATTCGTCAGAGTGCTCTAGAGGGACAGAACTTAAAGGAAAAAGAAATGTATAGGGGATTTATTAGAATGACTTTCAGGCTGTGGTCCAGCTAGTCACAATGGCTGTCTACCAACAGAAGGTCCAAAAATCCAATAGTCTGTCAGCGCATGAGGCTGAATGTCTTAGCTTGTCTTCAGTAAATGCTCAAATTCCAAGGAAGTAGGCTCTAATGTTAGTGAAGGGATGGACTTGCCAGCAAGAGCAAGGACAAGCAGGCAAAAAGAGAAGCCTTCTGTGTTCCATGTTCTTTAGCCAGCAGAAGCTGTGCCTTCCCACCTCAGAAGATCTAATTAAAAGTGGGTCTTCCCACTCCAGATGACTTAAGTAAGAAAAAAAAGCCCTCACAATGTACCCAGCTGCTTGGGTTTTCCTTCATTCTAGATGTAGTCAAGCTGACAACTAAGAATAATTATCACAAGGTAACCCAAGGAAATAGGTCACACAAGCATGGCATCTGTTAACCGGCACTAAGGAAACACCAGCTATTGGCCTCAGGAAGTCAGACTGTGGGTAATGTGGGGTTGAGGCCCCTGATCCCCTCTCAGCTGTTACTGCTTTTCAGGACTAACTCCAGACAACTGAATGATACTGAATTTATTTTTATTTACTTATTTTAGGAACTAATAGGAAGACGTGATTTCCAAAGCCAATTATGAAAACATTTGTCATTGGAATTGGTGGGTGAGTAGTTCCTTCATAAACAGCTGGGCAAGACACTCCAGTGTAGGGGAGGCCGCTTGTTCGTTCCCAGCTGCCCAGATCACAAAATAATCACTCAGAAACTATATTAATTAAATCACTGCATGGCCAATCACTTAAGCGCCTTTCTGGCTAATGCTTATATCCTAAACTATCCCATTTCTATTAATCTGTGTATTGCCACATGGCTGTGGCTTACCAGGTAAAGTTCCATCCAGCGTCCAGTGTGACTTCTCCCTGACTCCGCCTACTCTCTCTATGTATCTTTTCCAGTCTGCTTGTATTCTGTTAAGCCATTGGCTGAAAGCAGCTTCTTTATTACCAATGGTATACAGAGGGGAATCCCACATCACTCCAGATATCCAGGTAGTGTTTTGTGTGGACATGGTAGAGAAAGGGGGGGAGTCCCAAAACCCAGGAGGAGTGCTGCTACTTGGACACCAGTGGGAGGGGCAAGGGTTTGACAGGGGAAGAAAGAGGTGGGGCCAGCATATTACCAACATTTCCATTTGTTTTCTGGAGCTGACCCTGGAGATGAGAGCTGATTGGTCACTCCTTTGGTTGAGGGTGATTATCATTTCCCATGTGAATGCTGACATGGCGTAAGAAAAAATAACACTCCCTTCTGTTTCTATGCCCAGCTTTGACCTGGGAATACAAGCTTCCTTACCTACAGTCCTCTTTCCCCCACCTTCAGGGTAACCAGGTATACTATTTGGCTAGGCTAGTTTGTGTTGCCCTTATATAATATTAGCCATGTAGTCCACTGTCACAAGTATTCTAAACTGCGTAGTCATTTGACCTGTGATGCCAGAGGCTGGTGTGCAAATGTGACATCAACAGCCACTGAAAAGATTGTCTTGCTACTGGATTATGTCTATCATTCTTCATGCGTGTCTTATTGACAAAATATTTGCGATATTACAGATGTAATTTGAGGGAGATAATCTGTTGTGTTATTATATTACATCACACGGGAATCAATTAGGAATAGGAAGGGACTGGGTGTAGCTGCGTAGCAGAGTGTTTGTGTGACCCCAGCATCAGACAAAGAAAAATAAAAACAAATTAAGAATGAATTGAGCATCAGAATGTGCCTTGCTGTGGCTCCAGTGTGCCTGGAGCCGAATCTGTGTTATCCTGAAGAACTACTCCTGTCCTCACCTTCAGGTCACACTCTCTGCCACTCCCGTGGTAGGCCATCATTCACCATTCCCTAATTACAATCACCAGTTTAATCCTGGGGAACAGTGGCCGGAGGAGCGGGGAACAGGGGACAGGGACAGTTCGGGGACAGGGATACCCATGCTGTAGTTCAACTTAGCTTCCCACTCCAGCAGTAAACAGCTTCCTAAGCCCCACGTTCCTCAGCTAGAATATGGGGCTTAATATTAATATATCACCTTGTTATGGAAGTAGTCTCATCTTACTTGATTAACTGTAAACACTGTTTTTTAGCTTCTGCCTGTACTTCTGTGCCCTCCATTACAAAAGGAACTATACATTTATTTGTAAACAAAGAAAGGAAATACATCATGTAGCCTCTCACTTCCCTCCCTCAGAACCTAAAGTTCTGCTCTGGAACTTTTCCCTAGGGCGAGGAAAACTTGTGTGAAAGATGTTCTGAGCTTGCTGAAGGGGAAGGAGTGGGTCCCAAGGTGTCACCTGACCCACTGGCATGGTTACATTCCAGGTGTGGATTGCAGGCTCTGCTCGATGATGAAACCCTTTCCCAGCTGGTCCATTCGCAGCAGGACTCCTACGAAAAGTGCTTCCTTCTCGGTGGCTTCCTCTGAGTCAATGGGAGGGGCCTATTTATTGCTAATTTAATTATAAGATATTAAAGAGAAATTATAAGAAATGACACATTTTCTGGCTAGATTGCTCAGACCATACTAAAGTTTCTTCCTTTTAAACAAAAGCTCAGTGTCGTGACTATGGACTTGCAATATGGTTTATAGACTTTTTTTTTATTTTTTGGTTTTTCAAGACAGGCTTTCTCTGTAGCTTTGGGGCCTGTCCCAGAACTAGCTCTTGTAGACTAGGCTCTGCCTCCTGAGTGCTGGGATTAAAGACATGCGCCACCACCACCAGCTTGGTTTATAGACATTTTTTGTTAAAAAAAGAAAAGGTGATATCAGTGTTCTCAGTATATAGAGTAACAGCCCCACACCCTACCTGCTTATTGTAAGATAAAATGGACAGTCTTATTAATATCTTCCACTTGCAGGTATAAGGTATTTATATGATAATATATAGCCAATAATCATTTTGGTTGTGTTTTGTTGTTTCTCCTTTTTTAAAAAAAAGATTTATTTATTTATGTGTACAACATTCTTCTTCCGTGTATGCCCACACACCAGAAGAGGGCGCCAGATCTCATTACAGATGGTTGTGAGCCATCATGTGGTTGCTGGGAATTGAACTCAGGACCTCTAGAAGAGCAGTCAGTGCTCTTAACCTCTGAGCCATCTCTCCAGCCCTTGTTGTTGCTCTTGTTTGATGGGTTGGGTCTTTTTTTGTCGTTGTTGTTGTTTTGGTTTTTTGTTTTGTTTTGTTTTGCTTTTGGTGATTTGGGTTTTTTTTTTTCTTTTAAACGTAGACAGGGTCTCACTAAGTAGCCCTTGCTGGCCTGGAACTCATTTTGTAGACCAGGGTGGCCTTGAACTCACAAGAGATCCACTTGCCTCTGGGTCCTGAGTACTAGAATTAAAGGCATGCACCCCCATACCCAGCCTCACAAGTCCTTCTGACGAATGTATTTCTCTCTCTAGATTATAAACATTGCCGTGTTGATCTCTCCCAGAACTAGTCATGGGTTCTTGCCAATAGATATATAGTCAGGAGCTTTGTACTATTTGGTGTGTGGTGAAATCTTGACCTCTCTTCGGGGTGACTTGAAATGCACAAAATGAAATACAGAAACACAAAGAAAATCAAGATACAGCTGTATTAAGATACAGCTGTAAAATACTTAATAATAAATCTGTGGCCTTGTGATAGTTCGCTGCTAGTGAAATAAACAGCATGTGTAAGTTTGGAATACTGAGCGCCTGTGATCCTTCAAGATACCTGCCCTCCTACAGCTCAGCATGCACAGGGGTGCGGTTCTTGCCGTCACCCAAGTCACAGGCATCACCACTACTGCTAGTGGAAATCAGGAGCTGCTGATTTCCTGTTAGAATTTAGTGAAAATGGTGTAATCTCTTTTCTTTCAAATTCACAATGACCCTGAATTCTTTCATGGACCCTTTGGCTATGACTGAGCTCTGAGCTAATCACCTCTTTGTCAAAATGATAGAATAAGCCAGGCACCGTGGCTGATACCTGCAATCCCAATACTTAGGAGGTCGGGGCAAAAGGTTCACTGTCAATTCAAGGACAGCCTGGGCTACCTAGTTAGGGGATCAGCATGGACTGCAGAGCGACACCCTGTTCAAAAGAAAAACCCAAAAAGGAAAGAAAGATTGGCTAGAGAAAGGCCTGTCACATGTCGGAGAGTAAGAAACAGGACACACCAAGTTAGTTGGGTACCTACACCTCCAGATATGACGGTCCAGCCAGAGGAAACAAACAACTGACCTGATGGAGAAGTAACCCTGGGCCTCTACATAGACTCCTGCTATCAGAGGGGAAAGAGGCATGCCACAGGAAATGCGGGCTCATGGGTGGGTGGACTTCTGATAAGCCATTCCTCCTTTTTCTTGTGGGGTTGAAGCAATCACAGTGGCCATGGGCAGATCTATAAACTTGCAGGAAGGTGTGCACAAGACTCCTCTGGGGTGTGTCTCAAGCCCAGAGCTGTTTAGACAGAACATTGTTTTGCTTCCTGCACGGCATCTCCAGTTTACTTACCCAACTGTTTTACTTGCCTCTCTCCATCCTTTACTTGTCTCTTACTATTAGGACAAAAATCAACTTGTGATTTTGCCTGCAAAACAGAACACAATCTGTGAAAATGAGCATTTTTATCTCAAGTAGAAATGTTTTTTTTAATATTCCTTTAAAAAAATATTGTTGAATGTTCCTTGTTCCCTAAAATCTCCTTGGACCTCCTGTTTTTTCTTGGCTCAGTGTGACAAACGGCGGGAAGACAACGCTGGCTAAGAAGTTGCAGAAACACCTTCCCAATTGCAGCCTAATATCTCAGGACGACTTTTTCAAGGTACATATGAAGCTTCTTAGACGATCTATCTGATTCCAAAAGGCTTACTAACAAAGTTAATGATATCCAAAAGCTTTGGCTAAGGATAGACTTGGTGCAATAGTGTTACCTGCCCACCAGGTGGTACCATCTGTCAGGGACCGTCTTTGCTCTTGTCTATAATTATCCAAAACAGTTATTAAAGGCTTATCTTTTTAATTGTATAATTGTATCGTTTCTGCCCACCACTATGTTTGTTTTTCCAGCCAGAGTCTGAGATAGACATAGATGAGAATGGATTTCTGCAGTATGATGGTAAGTGGAGGCCTCTGTGAAATAGTATGAGTTTATGTTCATTTGTTTTTTCAAACACAAACACCTCTCTCTCTCTCTCTCTCTCTCTCTCTCTCTCTCTCTCTCATCATAATGTTAAATGTTTATATAGGGAGGGCAAGAAGTCTCCCTGGGTTAATGCACTTGTCACACAAGCCTGAAGACCTGAATTTGATTCTTTTTTTTAATATTTATTTATTTATTTATTTATTGTGTATACAGCATTACTTCCATGTATGCCTGCAGGCCAGAAGAGGGCACCAGACCTCATTACAGATGGTTGTGTGTCACCATATGGTTGCTGGGAATTGAACTCAGGACCTTTGAAAGAACAGGCAATGCTCTTACCCTCTGACCATCTCTCCAGCCCTGAATTTGATTCTTTTGAACCTTTAAAGATAGAAGAAGAAAATTGCCTCCACAAAGCAGTCTCTGGTCTCCCCAAGCACGATTCTGTGGCATGGAGGCCCCCTGACACATCTCACACATACACAAACACACACACACATGCACGCATGCACACACATGCTCACATACACACACACGAATAATTTGTTTTGAGTGTTTAAATATTGCTGTATTTTAAGCCTTCCATTGTAGGTTTTTTATCTCTGGTCAACTATTTAAGTAAACAGAAAATCTGTCCCAGAGATTTAAATTTCAGACTCAAAACTGGGATGGTAGATTTTTTTTTTCTCCAGAAGCTAGGACAGGGTAGGTTTGCCATCTTTCTGTCCATCCCTGACTCTGACATATGACTAGCCATGCTTATGACTTTGAGGCTCACCCACTAGAATATTTCATCTACATCAGACTAGATTTAATGCATTCAGCTTCCCTTCCCAGTATCAAAGCACCAGAAATTGTGTTTTTGTTTGTTTGTTTTACTACTTGGAAAACCTTGGAGTGTTTTTTAGAGTCACTTTGTTCTCTTGACCCAGGCTGATTCTGTTTGGAAGCCAAAGAATTAAAGTGATCCAAGAGTTTGTGGTCTTGCTGTCTTTTATAATTAACAGACTATCCTTAGTATGTCTGTCGATCAACCGAGGGAGCTCCACTAAAAAGACATTCTCTATCTCCAGTTTTGAGCATCTGAGGATTCAATATTACATTAACAGTTCTTACAGACACACAGTGGCTTCCAGACCAAGTCTTTCTTTGCAGTTCTATGTCAAGTTTCAGTCTTGATACATTGTTTCTTCCTTTCTTCCTAAAATAAGAAACTACTTTGAAAAAAAAAGAATGAAAAGACAATTTAAGCAGTGACAGAGCATTATTGCTCCCATTAACTGAGGAGTTCTCGTAAACTAACTAATAAAAAGGTAATATTTCAATAGAAAAAACATGCTAGAAGAATATGAATGCCTTCCTAAAAGCAGGAGGTCATCAAAGAGTTGCAGTCACCTTTACTCCATTCCAAAGTAGACAGAGAATTTTAATAAAGGATAATGACCCAATGGCAGGGCCACTACGAAAACAATCACCCTCGTGCACATTACATGGAATTACAAACTAACACAAATATGTCTCACAAATGCCTTGAAATGTTCCTACCCCTTGGGTACCCTACACCCAAGAATCTATCTTTAAGAAAAGAATTGAACTTTCAGGTAAATGTCTCAATGTAAAGTAAGTCCAGGTAGACTCAACATCTTTGTAACCACTAAAAGGACAGTTTATAAAAGTGAGTTAACAGATGCACAACATGCTGGACAGCTTTAGCCACAAAAGGATACTGCCTCCACAGTTCTGGAAACTGGGATCTGAGGTGAAGAGTTGGTTGCTGTTGAGACTATTACAGACAGATTCTGTGCCACACTCTGGCCTTTGTTGCATTACCACCATCTCTCCTTTCGCTTCAAGTGGCATCTTCCCCATGTGCATGTGTTCTAAGTTTCTACCTTTCTTAGTGACATCAGTCATATCACAGAAGGTGCCTGCCCTGCTGCTTAAAAATTATGTAAGGTGACCTCGTTAATGTATTTCCAAATTCACTAACTGTATAATATTTAACCAACTTGAACAAGTGGGCAAAAAAAGAACACAGAAGTGAATTAGAGCATAGAGGTGCTCAAGTTATAGCAAACTCTTATTTCAATTCTATAGAGGGTAAGTAGGAAAAGATAGTACTTTTTAAATTACTTAAAATTCCTTTTCTTATGGACAGCTTCAAAAATATACAAAAGTAGACAGAAAATTATAATAAATGTTCATGAGTTTATCACCCAGCTTCATATATGATGAGCTCTTTGACAGTCGTATTTCATCTCTACTCTGACCCACTTTCTCCATCTACATTTTTTTGAAGCATATCCTAAGTATCATCCCATCTTGTGTGAAGCAAGACACGTGGATTCCATGGACTGAAGGATAAATCACTAGGAAATGTAGAAAATGTTTTAACTCCCTGTCCCCTGTCATTGAGCCTTGTTCATTTAGCCAGAACCTACAATACAATATAACAAAGAAAGGAAGATTGAAGCAAAGAAGACACATGCTGGCTGAGGACTTTGTGACTCGAGAGATCACGTGGGTATGAGTTCCCTGTGTATGGCAGTATGAAAGAAAATGCCCCCTCCAAAGGGAGTGACACTATTAGGAGGTGTGGCCTTGTTGGAATAGATGTGGTCTTGTTAGAGAAAGTGTGTCACTGTGGGGGCAGGCCTTGAGATCTCTTTTGCTCAAGCTTCCCTTAGTATGATACTCAGACCACTTCCTATTACCTGCAAGCCAAGATAAAGGATAGTTGGTCATCTCTATAGCACTGTGTCTGCCTGCACACCACCATTCCCAACATGATGATAACAGACTAAAACTCTGAAACTATAAGCTGTCTCCTTAATTAAATGTTTTCCTTATAAGAATTGCCATGGTCAGGCCGGGCAATGGAGGCACATGCCTTTAATCCCAGCACTTGGGAGACAGAGGTAGGTGGGTCTCTGTTCGAGGCCAGCCTGGTCTACCGAGTGACTTCCGGGACAGGCTCCAAAGCTACAGAGAAACTCTGTCTCAAAAAAACAAACAAACAAACAAAAGAATTGCCTTGGTCATGGTGTCTCTTCAAGGGACAGAAACCCTAACTAGGACACTGCTTTCTTTATTTCTTCCCATATGCCACCTGGACTTCTGGAAATGCATGTGACATGAACCATCAGTGGTCAGAAAAGGCAGCAAGAAGCCTACAACCAAAGGACCAGAACAAGGGTAGCTATGGGAATACAGTGTCCTTTTATCCCTCTTTAGCTAGGCCCAAAAGGAAAATCTATTCCCCTGTTGTGTCCACAGGACCAGTGGAGGGCTACACCCCAAGACTTTGACCTGCCACCAGCAATGTGGAGTGACTTGTCTTCTACATCACCCACAGGAGATTTAGCAGAGCCAAACAGTGAACAAAACTTCCAAACTGTGGGAAGCAGAGTCAGAATGAGACAGGGTAAAATGTGTAGTGATGTGGGATTCCCGTCTATATGCTGTGATTACCATTAATGAATAAAGAAAACTGGCTTGGCCTGATAGGGTAGAACAGAGCTAGGCGGGGAAAACTAACCTAAATGCTGGGAGAAGGAAGGCAGATAGAAGAGAAACCATGTAGCCCCACTGAAGACAGACAATGGGAACTTTACCCGGTAAGCCACAGCCACATGGCGATACACAGACTAATAGAAATGGGTTAAACTAATATGTAAGAGTTAGCCAATAAGAAGATAGAGCTAATGGGCCAAGCAGTGATTTAAATAATATGATCTCTGTGATTATTTCGGGTCTGAGCTGCAGGGTGACTGGGTAGCAAACAAGTGGTCTCCCTACAACAGTGTACGCTGGCCCTCCATCTTCCTCACCCAAGCCATGTCAACTGCTGTCATCAGGAATCAGTGAAAGATTGAGCTTCTGCCTCATTCAGCAGCATTGAATCTTTCCCCCTATTTGACCCTCTCCTAGCCACCTAATATTTTAAGGGTGCCCATCTGAACCTGGGTACGCTTCAGAGTGACCGGCTCCAAAGTAAAAAAAAAAAAAAAATTAAATAGTAGCCTTAATACTCAGTACTTACTTAATACTCAGATCATCAGGACATACCTGAAAGGCATTTGTCGGTCAAAGAGGCAGGACAGTCTGAACCTGGATTAAAAAAATAATAACCGACAAGTATCGATTCTATGACGGCACTGATGAAATTGTCTGACAGAGATTTGAAAGTGGGTTTGTAAAAAAAAAGTCATCAGGTACCTGCAGATAGTCTTGAAATAGGAGAAGAGTTTAAAAACCCCAAGAAAGAAATGGAAATGTGACAAACGAACCAAGAAGAAATTTGGTAACTGAAGAAGGTGTAATAACCCAACTCTAGAACTCTCCAGGTAGGCTCAGTGAAAGAATAAACATGAGAGGAAAAGATCCATAACTTGAAGACGTGGTAGAAATGACTTTGAATGGGAGGACATAGAGAAAGATGGAGTGATATCAGAAGACCCAGCATCTCTACCTGGGAGCTTCAGAAAGAGGAGCATGGACTCACAGACGCAGTAGTGAAGACCACGTCGAGAGGAGATGAAATCCTGTTGTTGGAAGAATCGGAGTGACCCCCACAGCAGTTAGACAAAATGGATCAAGACATAATTAGGGGAGGCACAGTTTACAAACAGCGAACATGGGAAGCATCCTACAGATGTTGGAAAGAAGTTCTCATGCTTCACCTGTTTGTCTGTCTATACACACAGGCTTCCCTCCGTTATGAAAATTCCTAGGAGGTTTATTTGTAAACTCTGATAAAATGGCCAGTTTCCTGGAAAAGGTGGCGCTTAGCCAAACCAGCAGCATAACCATAAGAAAATCTCAACAGTCTTATCTCTATTAACTTAATTAGCCCACACTTTTCTGAGAATTTATGGTAGAAACACTCGTGAGAGCACGGGGTGTGATCAGTGCTCAGGAATGAGGCTGGGAATTTACGGTAGAAACACTCGTGAGGGCATGCGGTGTGATGAGTAGTCCAGGAAGGAGGCTGAGAGTTTTCATGTCTGACAAATTGCTGGTCTGGTCTGAAGACCATGCATCAGGAATACCTGTTCTGCTTCTCTAGAGTCATACTTGTTAGCTCTAGAGGTTGCACATATCAGGGTTTAAAATGACATTTGTATCCTATAATTTTTAAAAGGTTTTCTTGTAGGACTGGAGAGATGTAGGCTCGGTGGTTAGTCCGTCTATCAGATGGGCTCAATTCCCAGCACCCACATGGTGGCTTACAACTATATGTAACTTTAGTTTCCAGGGGATCTGATGCTCTCTTCTGCCAGCTGTGGGCAATGAACACACATGCACAGACATACAAGCAGGCAAAATACCCATAAACATAAAAAAAAGGTTTCTCATTTATAAGAGATCCTTTACTATTAAAAAGAGTAGCTACTTTCCAGCTGGGTGGTGGCGGTGCACGCCTTTAAACCCAGCACTCGGGAGGCAGAGGCAGGCGTTATCTCTGTGAGTTCGAGACCAACCTGGTCTACAGAGAGTTCCAGGACTGGCTCCATAGCTACTGAAAAACCCTGTCTCGAAAAATCAAAACAAAACAAAACAGCCAAACAAAAACCACACATATAAAAAAAATAGCTACTTTTCAAATAGATTATATGTTATTTATCTTTCAAATGCATGTCTAGCTTATTTTCTCCTCCAAAAATTGGAATTACAGGCAGCTGTGAGCTACCACGTGAGTGCTAGGAATTGACCATGAGTGCTCTCAAAGAGCATTAGGTACTCTTAACCACCAAGCCCTTGCTCCAACCCTCACTTAGTTTTCGTTTTTAAAGGTCTTGCTAGGGACACATAGTTCAGTGGTTGAGTGCTTACCTAACACAAACAAAATCCTGGATTTAGTCTCCAGTACCATAAATTGTTGATTTTTCAGTATCAGGAAGGGTTGGTCAGCTGTGAACTTATTGTAGTCAGGACTGAGAGACAGAGATGGAGCACAGAAAGTAGAGGCACCTGCCACCAAGCCTGACAACCTGAGTTCCCTCCCTAGGATTCCCTGGAGCAAGAGCAGAACTGAACCCCTCAAGTTGTCCTCTGACCCCCACACATGCCCAGTAAATGCATCAATCTAAAAAAATTACAACTAGAAATAGTGGCATAGTATTCATCGTATTTTACATTTGTACTTCTTTTTTTTTTTTGGTTTTTCGAGACAGGATTTCTTTCTCTGTGTAGCCTTAGCCTTGACTGTCCTGGAACTTGCTGAGTAGTATGCAGACCAGGCTGGCCTTGAACTCACAGAGATCTACCTGCCTCTGCCTCCCAAGTGCTGGGGGTTAAGGGCGTGCACCACCACTGCTCAGCACATTTGTACATCTTTGTTTTTCCTAATAAAAACATCTCAGACATACCTCTCAAGTATATCTCTTAGTGTTTTAATGGGGTGTTTAAAGTATGTATTATTAGATCCTTTGAAGGATAAGCGAAATGCTGTTATGTCCTACATTTACAGAACCCTAAAGATAGTTATCACGAAAAGCCAACCACCTAGAAGAGTTCGCTATATTAATTTCATCGGTTTTATGTTTGTTTCAGTGCTTGAAGCACTTAACATGGAAAAAATGATGTCAGCTGTTTCGAGGTGGATGGAAAACCCAGGGCGCTCTGAGGGACCAGCAGCTTTGGAAAGCGCTCAAGGGGTTCCCATTTTAATCATTGAGGGATTCCTTCTCTTTAATTATAAGTAAGTCCCCTCCCAGCCCCAACCTGAAGGAATGCGGGGGTGGGAGAGAGAGCCTTGCGAGCTGAGTGTGTTGTGTTCTTAGGCCGCTGGACACCATATGGAACAGAAGTTACTTCCTGACCGTCCCATATGAAGAGTGTAAGAGGAGGCGGAGGTACGTTTAGAGACCGTTTTGTGCACTGTTACCCGAAAGGTGAACTGTAGGGAAAACAGGAAAAGTGGCATTATTGAACAAGCCTTAACTCGGAAGTCAAGCATTTTATCACCTGGGGTCCAGTAACTTCTCTAAGAGGAAGGGCCAGGGCCGTCCTGTCGGGCTCCTTCCTCCTCACCCGCCACGCCCACGCTCTGCTAGCCCCACGGAGACCACCGGCTACATTAGAGAGGAAGCCAGCCTGTCCGCGTATCTCGCACCTTATTTCTTCTTGTACTTGTCCCATAATTCTTTTATAAAACACAAGAGACAGAGAAAAGATAACTATGAATGTTAATGAGTTACAGGCATACAGTTCGAATCATAAAACTAAATCTATTTTGCTATTTTTCTTACTACAATTGAGTTTTTTTTTTTAAAAAAAAAAAAAAGTACTCTGGATCCCTCTTTAGATTTAACCTGAGTGATTTTTTTACATTGTCTTGACTGTGATTCATTTACTTTGTCAATCATATTTTATATCAACATCAAGTTTCTTGCCTGTTTTTCCAGTACAAGGGTGTATGAGCCTCCTGACCCTCCAGGGTACTTTGATGGCCACGTGTGGCCCATGTACCTAAAGCACAGACAAGAAATGAACACCATCACATGGGAGATCAGTAAGTACCTCCCCTCTTTCTCGCAAGGCCTTTTACTTCTCATTTATGTCAAAGTAGAGAAAGGATTACTTGGAAAACATTTTTCTCAAGGAGTTTGTAAAGAGATGCTCAGGCAGCCTCGGGGTTCCCCTCATCTACAACTGATTCTTGCTGGCTTCTTCTTCCCCTGGTGGTTCCTGTCAAACTTGTCAGAGTCCACATTGTCATCCGTTGAGCCACCGTTGCCTGGATGTGGCCTGTGACAGTGGTAGGTCAGGGAGGCAGACCCAGTCTCTGCTCTAAGCCAGCTGAGATCTCACCAGGAAACGGCATTAAAAGTCTAACCTTACACACAAGTCTTTTCTCCATGTAAGCGCTGATGTGGAGCACCAGGAAGACTGGAGAAAGCTGTCTGTCACTAAACTCGTATGCGCTTAGCTGGCCTGGGGATGGGGGACCGTAAGTTAGGGGGCAATGACTATCATTCAGACCATAAGGAGAACAGAGAAAAGACCTAGGGGCAGGAAGGCATGAGCAATACCTAAAAGAGGCTGTTGTGTTTGTAGTAGAGAAAAGTAAGGGGAAGATGGGCCACTGCCGCTGCTGCTGCTGCTGCTGCTGCTGCTGCTGCTGATACAGGCAAGGGCCAGGCCCTCTAATGCTAATGGGGTGTCCTTGGAGAGCTGGGAGAGCTGGGAAGCACCCCACAGACAGGCTCTAAACACGGTCATGGTCGATACATATTTTGGGTAAGGTCTCTCCTGATCTGAAGAGTAGATTTAGAGGTTGCATTGCGGAACACAAGTACTCAGTAGAACTGGGGCATAAAGGTGCCCAGGATTCCAGACACCCCAGGAACCAGCAAGAGATGTTTTGGGGAGAAAACGTGAAGAAATTGTACATATGTGAAGAAGGACTAGACATGTGTTTTGCAGGAAATAAAATGGAGGTACCTGAAAGACAGTGTTCCAATTTGGAGGCCATATGAATACATGGCCCTGAGCTAAGGTACTGTCCCTGGAGTGTTTAGGGAGACAGTGGCCTAAGTCCGTTGGCCAGGACAGAGGGATCATCCTGGCATACTTTTCAGAGCAAAGGAGACTCACCCGTATTGAAAGGAGCCTGTTGGCCTCCGGGGAAGGTAGCTCCGTTGAGATCTGTGCAGAAAGAGCAGAGTCTACCTCAGCGCTGTGCGGGTTTGTGCTGCGCCAGCAGCTACTGGGGCGTCCGTCTAGGGAAAACATCCTCTCATGCCCTTCGCTCCCGCCATCAAAACTGCAAGTCTAACTTGGTCCTTGGTCTTTGGCCTAGTTAATGCCAGCTGTCAAATTCACACAGTCATCTGAGGGAGTCACAGTTGAGGGACTACCTAGATTCTATCAGCCTGTGGCCATCTCTGTGTCAGATTGTCTTGACTGATGGTTGATGTTCGGGGGGAGCTCCATGCATTGTGAGCAGTGCCACCTTAGACAGTTGAGCCCGGGCTGTACAGGAAAGCTAGCTGAGCAAGGCAGAGAGCAATCCAGCAAGCAGCATTCCTCCGTGGTTCCTGTGACAGGCTCTCACCTTGAGTTCCTGCCCTGAGAAATGTAAGCCAAATAAACCCTTTCTTCCCCGCATTGCTTTTGGTTGGAGTGTTTTATCACAACACCAGAAGAAAAAACAAAACAAAGCGAGGACACCTTGTTTAGATGCAGCCGATCCACGGTTTCCAGCTCTTTGGTATAAAATCTATAGACACCAAGGCACAGCCTTTCTCCGAAATTCCATCTCCAATGCTGTCCTTCCTCTGCTGTTGCCACTCATGCTTCCCCACAGGCAACTTCTCTTCAGATCCCCTCAGCCTTGCTGTTTGCGACTAGCAGGTCCTTTCCTTTCTGCAAAAGTGTTCATGCCGGTTATATTGAAAATTCTAACTTCTGGTCTGGGAAGTGTGTGGTAAAGTCCAGACTGACCCATGGTTTAAAAGCTTCACTGTTGGGACATGCACTGGGGAATTGCTCCTCTTTGGGACAGGAAACACTGCAGTCTCTGAACTTGTTTTGTATGTCAACCAGGCACCAAGAACAAACCAAAGAAACCACCCACGTCCAGCTTAGTGAGCCAGTGAGTTTATTGGGGTTACTTATAGGAGCGTGGTGACTCAAAGGCAATTACATCACCAAAAAGCCCATGTCACCATGGCAATGCCTCCTCAAAGCAAAATCCCTAGAGCTGCCTGTACAACCTACTGGCAATTCTGGGCATGGGAGAACCTTCTGTCTCCAGCAGTTGTTACTGCTGATGGAACCTTTGGAAGGGGCCTTGTGAGTCTAACACTCAAGAACTCAATGAGCCATTAGGTTCATTTACTTTGGAATCTTAATGTCTTCCTTCCTCCCTCTAGGAGGGAATGTCCCAATGCAGAAGAAACAGTACACAGTGCATGCCATGTCCACAGTGCTTAGCCTCTCTCTCTTTCTCTTTTCATTCCTTCCTGTCCTCCTTTCTTCCATAGATCATAGTTTGGTGAAAGCTATGGGTGTTTTTAAGAAACTCCAAAGCATCCATTACTAATAATCCTGTTCACATTTGAACTGCTATTTCTCACTTCTCAGTTTACCTAGATGGAACAAGATCTGAAGAGGACCTCTTTTCTCAAGTGTATGAAGATGTCAAGCAAGAATTAAAGAAGCAAAATGGTAAATATTATTCTATCAACTCAGATGGTGGAGGAAAAAGAATCTTGAGAACAGTTCATTGCATTCCAAGATCGGTGTGCACAAATGCCAACAAGGGGAGATTTTTGCATTGATCTTTCTTGGATCACATGACTTGCAAAGAGATATCACTTTGACCAGAAAAATGGCATACTGTGATTGGCCATAACTAAATCATATACCCCATCATGGTTGAATGCCACCACCTGAGACCTAATATTGAAAATTTTTCCATAGAGAAAGCAGGGCAGAAATTAGAAACATGAAGAAGAAAGTTGGAATACCATGCTTGGAGGTTAAAACTCCACACCTAACAGCCAGATTTGAATTACAAGAATTAAAATGTGAGCTGAAGAAATGGCTCAGCGGTTAAGAACTCTTGCTATTCTTGTAGAGGACTGGAGTTCAGTACCCAGCAGCCACACTGGGCAGCTTACAGCTGCCTGTAACTCTCTCTAACACAAAGACATCTGACACTTTCTTCTGGCCTCTGCTGGCACCCACATGTTTATGTACCTCTCTCCCTCCCTTCTTCCATCCATTCTCTTTCTCTCTCTCTCTCTCTCTCTCTCTCTCTCTCTCTCTCTCTCTCACACACACACACACACACACACACACACACAAATAATAATTCTTAAAATTTTTTTGAATAAAGATCTCACTATGTAGCCCTGACTGGCCTGGAACTTGCTGTATAGAACAGGCCAGCCTAGAACTCACAGAGATTCCTCTGCTGCTTCTTTCCATTGTGCTGGGATTAAAGGCATTGGTCACCACACCTAGCCTAATAAAAACAAGTATTAAAAAATAAAATGATTACTATGTTGAACTGATGGTGCATGCCTATATCGAAGCACTCAGGCAGATGGGGCAGGAGAGTCATGAGCTCAAAGGTAACTTAAGTTAGAGTGACACCCTGTCTCAAAAGAAAGCGGAGGAGGGGAGATCTTGTGGCCAACAGATAAGATGTCGGGGTCAGCTGGCTCAAGAGAAAGCCGCATTAGCCTCAGGAGCAGGGGAGAATGTAGCAGGGTTTGGGGTGAGAAAACCTTCTGTAGCCCACATGTCAGTCACTCGGTAAGAATTAAGTTTACTCTCTCTTCACCTCTTTCACTAACCAGCTGGGCCCCCATTGATCCTGATTGTTCCTGGTTGTAAGGCCAGCCCTTGGCATAGGCAGGAAGCCCTCTGAGGAAATTTTAAGACCATTTTAAATTTCCCTCAAATAAATAAAACTAATAATCCTTACCAAGTCTGCCATCCCACCCTAACTTCCCATCCTGCCATCCTAACCCTGCCACTTCACGTGACCCTACCATCTGAACCCTGCTATCCCAACCCCTGCCATCATACCCTGACACCCCAGCCTGACTCCCCATTCTGCCATCCTAACCCTGCCACTTCACCCCTGCCATCCCACCCTGTCACCCCACCCTGTCACCCCACCCCTGCCATCTGTTACTCTGATGGAAGGTAGAAGGTAGGCCTCCCATAATACAGCCAGGGGCACCAGCATAAGTAGATGAAGAGTAGTGGGGTGATGTGAGTTGCTCAGCTTTTAGAGCTGATAATCCTGGGCCAGAACTACTTATCTGAGAGAGACCAGATCCTCTTTCTGGCCCAATGAGAGGCTTCAGGACCCAGATGCTAGTATCTGTCTACCCAAAAATGGGCAGGGTTTAGGCCCAGTTCCCTTTTAGTAATTAAGTCATATACTGGAGTTTGGCCTTAGAATCTGTTTTACAATAAAGACAGAGAAAGCTTTAGTCATGTTCCTCAGATACATTACACCCCATACCACCCCAAATCCGTCTTTTGCCGTCTGCCCACAAGGGCCAAGAACAGCTGGTGTGCTGCAGCAGATGCTGTGAACCCGCAGGGTAGTACGTGTCTGCGTGTGGGACTCCAGTGTGTGAGCGCGTGCACACACACACCTTCCTTGCCTGCATCTAGAGGTAGATGAGAAGTGTTCTCCTCCTCGAGGCTCTCTAGTTTCTGTTCTAGGTACAAGATACAGGTAAACTAAGATTAACAGAAACACTAGAAGAGATAAAACTTGGAAACAGATGTACTTTTCCTGCCCCCAAGATTTATGGTAGTCTTGCATTGTACAGATAATTTACTGTGCTATTTCTAGTAATCCATCACCTTTCCAAGTTCTTGCAGCCAGAAGAATTCTCAGCGTAGCCCGCTTCACCCCTGAGCCTCAGAGCACCAGGCTGACCTTCCTAACATGTCAAATGTTGACTCCAGGCTTTTTTACTTTGTGTAACCTTGTTCAGCAAATTCTTCATTATAAGAATATACAATCTGGCCGGGCAGTGGTGGTGCATGCCTTTAATCCCAGCACTCAGGAGACAGAGGCAGGTGGATCTCTTTGAGCTCGAGGCCAGCCTGGTCTACAAGAGCTAGTTCTGGGGACAGGCCCCAAAGCTACAGAGAAACCCTGTCTCGAATAACAAAAAAGAAAAGAAAAGAAAAGAATATATTGTCTTAATTGTGTGTGATAAGGTAATAAAATTGATAAAATTGATAAGTAAATTTAAAAAGATAAATAACCCTGAAAAGTTAGAGTTTCTATTGCTACGAAGAGACACCATGACCATGGCAACTCTTACAAAGAAAAACATTTAATTAGGGTGGCTTACAGTTTCAGTTCAGTCCATTATCATCATGGTGGGCATGGCAGCATGCAGGCAGACATGTGCTCGAGGAGAGTTGAGAGTCCAGCATCTTGATCCATAGGCAATAGGAAGTGAACTGTGTCACTGGGCATAGCTTAAGCATAAGAGACCTCAAAGCCCACCCCCACAGTGACACACTTCTTCCAGTAAGGCCATAGCTACTCCAACAAACTCACATCTCCTAATAATGCCACTTCCTTTGGGGGCCATTTTCTTCCAAACCACCATCATAAGGCTATATAAAGTTATACATGTAGTGTAGTCCTAACTCAAATCTGAAGCCTGAAGTAAAATGTAATCATGACCTAATCTTAATGTAACAAAGCAATTTATCCACAAGGACCATCAAGCTCCCTTAAAAGCTTTTGTTTTCATATTATTCTAAAAACATATTTGATTCTAAACATTTTTATGTGAAGAAATTATAATTGTGTTCTTATCAGTCTCTCTCTTACAGGAAGCTGTGAGCACACTGGGTAATCAGCCATGCTGATTTCTGGTTACTTAGTGGCTGTGTTCATGTAGCTGTGTGGATGTTATTATATAATGAAGCTAAATATCATTACCATTAGAAGATCAAAGGCCAAGTTCCTTTTTTCTTTCTTTTTTAATTTATTTGTTTTTATTTTATGTTCATTGGTGTTTTGTCATGGGTATTGGGGTCCCCTGGAGTAGGAATTACAGCTAGTTGTGAGCTGCCATATGGGTGCTGTTAATTGAACCCAGGTCCTCTAGAGTAGTCAGTACTCTTAACCACTGAGCCATCTCTCCAGCCCAGTGAGATCTTTTTTTTATACACCAGTGTGAAATCTAAAACTTAGCATTGATACTTTAGTATTGGGGGCTGTGGACCCCCAGACCCTGAATTTCCTGTAGACAGCTTGTTACGCTTGCAGCTGCTCTGAGCAAAACAACTTGTTTTCCTGTGTTTGCAGCTGCTCTGAGCATGAGACCCTCAGGAGTTCCTGATGGCAGGGGAGTGGTTTCTGGCCGGTTTGGCTGGGGTGTGGCTATCAGTTAAGGATCCCTATATAAGCAGCTCCTGAACACAATAAAGGGGGCATTCTTCGCATTCTTGTTTCAAGGATGACCCTGTCCCTGTGTCTGTGTGTGTGTGTGTGTGTGTGTGTGTGTGTGTGTGTGTGTGTGTGT